TCACAAGACACGTGGTGCCGGCAGCATCACTGTGCGTGGAGCTGCACTGACACCTGCTGGAGAAATACTGGCACTGCAATATGAGCCAGGGTGCTTGAAAAAAAACACCTGGATTTTCAATAGAAATTGTAATATTAAATAAAAGAAGTACCCAAATCCAATATAAAGAGATGTGTCTGCTGTGTACAGACTAGTATTAATTTCTGAGAGTTTTTTGAAGTTATAAGGTCACATGACATATATGCTATTAAATAAAAAACACTGCATTTTCAATATAAATATTAATAAATAATGAAGGAAGGACCAACATCTTTATAATGAGGTGTGTCTGATGTGTAAAGATAGTATTACATTCTGAAATGGATTTGAAGATAGTAGGTCAAATGACTTCAACTATTGAAGAAAAACGCTGACATTTCAATACAAATATTCATAGTAGGCTAAATAAAGCAAGTACCAAAGTTCAATATAAAGAGGGGTGTCTGCTGTGTACAGACCAGTATTCATTTCTGAAAGTGTTTGTAAGTTATTAGGTCACATGATGAAGAGAGAAGAGCTTGAATTAATTATCCTGACGATAATAACAGCACTTCGTTGGTCCCTAAAATGAGTCCAGTCCATACGAATGATTGTAGGCTACTCTGAATTGTAGTTGGGTTGAAGTACAAAGTAGCAAACAATTGAAATACTTAAGTAAAGTACAAGTATATAAAAATTTACTTAAGTACAGTACTTGAGTAAATCTACTTAATAGTTAGCCTATAGGCTACTTTACAGCACTGCTGTAGAGTAGGTTGTTCCTAAACTATGTTTTATTTGATATTTTGCTGAGTATATAGGCTATGTATTATTATCAGCCCACGGGATGTCATTGTAATATGTCGAAGCCTCCTTGTGTTTCTGTGAGTCAGGAGCAGGTTTAAGTTTCCCTGAGAGAGGAAACGAAAGTGAAATCAGCCGCGGCGCGAGAGAGCTTCGTGTATTGTTGTCAGTCTGTCGGGGAGTTACCGGAGAACACGATGGAGCAGACCGAGAGTCCGCCACCGGTGACCGTGGAGGGGGACTGGGGTCCGGCCCAGACCAAGACCGTGAAGAACAAACTGGAGCTTTACTTCGGGAGCAAGAAGAAATCCAGCGGGGGGGAATGCCGGGTGGAGGCCAAGGAAGAAGCTCCGAAAGCGGCCGTGTACTTCCAATTTCCGGAGGGTGAGTTAGCCTACTGCTTACATTCTACAAAAACAACAAGTTACTGCTTGTGTTTCCGTTGGTAACAACATTTTAAATATTTAAAGTTTTGTAGACAGTTTGAAAACGTTTCTACAACAAATCATTATTGATTTCATAAAAAAAACTACAGGCCTGGCAGTTTTACTGCGACACACGAGGTTCTATGGACTGTTGTACAGTTAATAATGATTTAAAACTCATTATTTATTTTATATTCACCACAACACTTTTTATTTTGTAGGCCTACTTTGAATCTTTCAGATGACATGTTAACATATTAGGTCCGTTACTGTTCCTAATTTATGTAAATGAAATGTCATCAGCATGTGACTGCAACTTGACGACTCAGCCCTGCTGGTCTCTGACAGGAACAGGTTGCAGGTTGAAAAAACCCTCAGCTCCGAGCTCGGCAGAATCTGCACCTGGCTCGCCGATAATAAATTATCATTACACCTGGGTAAAACAGAGTCCATTCTCTTCGGTTCGAAACATAATCTCAGCAAATCCGACGACTTCTCAGTTGCAGTGGGTGACATTATTGTCACAAGTAAGAAGGAAATTACATACCTAGGATCTATTCTTGAGGCAAAGCTCTCCTGTGACAAAATGGCATCCAATGTAATAAAAAAAGTCAATCAAAGAACTAGATTCCTATACCGGATCTCCTCTCTGGTAAACAAAAACACCCTGAAAACTCTGGCAGGAGCACTCATTCAAGGGTACTATGACTATGCTTGCACATCATGGTACCATAGCACCTCCAAGGCGCTAAAAATAAAACTTCAAACATCGCAAAATAAACTGGTCAGACTACTGCTTGACCTTTCATCTAGAACCCACCTCACCTCTGCCCACTTTGACAACCTAGGATGGCTTAGAGTAGACCACAGAGTACAGCTACTTGCAATGGGCCTGGTCTACAAGATCCACTACACCTCTATGGTACCCATGTACATGTCAAAATTCTTCCCAAAGGTCAAGGAATACCATGATCATAACACCAGAGGGAGCTCCACAAATCATGTGAAACCCAGATTTGGCACAAAAAAGGGGGAATACACGTTTCGCAATTATACCACATCAAGGTGGAACGCTCTTCCCACAACTGTAAAGGAAAGTAAAACTATACTTACCTTCAAAACCTCTCTTAAAGAGCACCTTCGGGGGAGAGCATTGCAAAACTGGCCCCGGTAATGGTACAAATCTCAACCTGTCGTTCAATGGACAGCTTCCCCCCCCCATCTATGTATATACTCGCATTTTAGACTCTGTTACTAACTGTATATCTGTAGACTTGGTATGTCTTAAATGTCCGGTTAGGATGTATTAGAACGAAATCTAAAATGAAAATTGTAAATAAGCCATCTGTATGTCAAATATGTCTTATATGTCTTAAATGATATGATGAATTGGAAATGGGGGACCCTGATGTAAACAAGACGAAAGTCTTTCTCTGGTCTGCATCCTCTTAACAATTGTATGTTTTGAGCTGTACTGTACTGTACCCAATATACAAGCTGTCAATAAACTTTTCAATCAATCAATCAATCAAACACTGATCTCAGCTCAGATTGTCACATGACTTCACAGCATGCACGTCACTATGGAATGCCATTTAAGCCAAAATTAAATAAATAAATAATTAAATAAATACATATATATAAATATGCCTATGAAATAAATTCTGAAATAAATAAATGAGGCAATAAATGTATACATGTACATTTAAATACACATTTATTTACTTCATGTGACTTGTATTTCATAATGAGACATTTCCATTCCTTATATGCAAATGAACGGGGCGTGGTTAGCTCACAGATCCAGAGACCCAGACCAAAGCAACAGCACCACACTGACTACTCGAGAAGAGGAAGAAAATGGAGGAGAAGGACTATAAAGCAAACTACTAAATTCTCAGAGTCAGACATCGCATGTAATCTGATAACATAACTACCCTCGGGGCGCTTAGTTCTCTCCGCAGTGTGTGTGTGTGTGTGTGTGTGTTGTGTGTGTGTGTGTGTGTGTGTGTGTGTGTGTGTGTGTGTGTGTGTGTGTGTGTGTGTGTGTGTGTGGTGTGTGTGTGTGTGTGTGTGTGTGTGTGTGTGTGTTGTGTGTGTGTGTGTGTGTGTGTGTGTGTGTGTTGTGTGTGTGTGTGTGTGTGTGTGTGTGTGTGTGTGTGTGTGTGGTGTGTGTGTGTGTGTGTGTTGTGTGTGTGTGTGTGTGTGTGTGTGTGTGTGTGTGTGTGTGTGTGTGTGTGTGTGTGTGTGTGTGTGTGTGTGTGTGTGTGTGTGTGTGTGTGTGTGTGTGTGTGTGTGTGTGTGTGTTTTAACGGTACCACAGTCTTTAATAATTCAGCCCCGGGGCCCCGTTAATACTGGGGCTCGGTACCCATCCCTAGTTTTAATTATTACATCATCAATATTACATTTCAAATAACCAAGTACTTGGTGTCTCACAAAGAGCAAGTGGCTAATGCTGCTAGGAACATACCTGGTGATGGTGATGGTGGCTCTTCGCTGCAGGATCTGGTCGTTGTCCTCCTAGCAGAAGGGATTGCCTTCGTCGTTCTCGTCCATGATGGCGGCGTAGGCTCCTTTCCTCAGCAGGTCCTCGATCTCCTTCTTGGAGAACTGCTGGACCGGCTAAAGGCGACGCAGAGAGACATTTACACAAGTGGATTTAGAAAACTCTTTTTGAAAATAAACTAAGCGTACTGCAACAGCGACTGACCCAAAATGACTTGGCATCTAGAAATATGACAGATTTTCTTTTTCTCACCCCGTTGTTGTTGCCACTCATGCTCTGCAGTACGGCACGGTCCAGCCCGAGCTTCAGACTAGCTTTATCCAGCATTTCCCTCTCATAGTTTCTAGTGATCAGACGGTACACCTCCACCGCCTTAGACTGGCCAAAACGATGACACCGAGCTTGAGCCTGAAATACAAAATGAAAAGAGGGGTCAAAAGAGCATCATGTGCAGCTGCTGTGCAACGTTTTTAAGCATTAAATGGGAAAATAATATACACTTAAAGAACCGAGGGAATAAACGGAAAGACTGTTGTTGTTGTTGTTGTTGTTGTTGTAGTAGCCCTATTGAACTATCTTTAGGACAGACAGAGCAGATATATATATATATCGTACCTGCAGGTCATTTTGAGGGTTCCAGTCAGAGTGGAATATCACACAGGTGTCTGCAGCAGTGAGATTCACAAGCTCTTGATCAGGTGTTTGATGTGGGCTGGCATGATCCTTTCTGCAGCGATGAATAAAGAAAACAAAGAAGACATTATTAATAATAGTAATGATGGTAACAACAATAATATTAGTATAACTATTTATATAGCACTTACACAATAATTGCAAAGTGATTCTCACAACAAAAATAAAGAACAAAACAATATCAACAATAAAAAAACTAATTATTATAGGAATGTTAAGATACAAAGAAATGATAAACATTCTGAGAGGCCGACTACAAAAGCTAGACTCAATGGCTCTTGATGACATCAATGAGCAGTCCCAACACATGCTGCTGTATCAAAAGAAATATGTCCTGATTTCTTCTATTTAGTGTTGGATGATTTGTTTTATTGATTGCTGATGGATGTTAAGATATGTTTTACAATTATAACAAAAAGATTATTATAATTGGAATCAAAAAGTTACAAATCGTAGTTTTAATAAAATGACTAGCAATATAGGATTTATTCAACAGCGGTAAAGCATTAAGTTGCTAAATTAACGTACACTGAACTGTAAAACTTACCACT